CTTGGTCAAGGACCTTTGCCCCCCACACCACAGCCTAGCGGGTCCATTTATAAAACGGAGATACTCAACCCTGCACCAGAGAGTTGAAGTAAAATAAAGTAGGTTTGCAGAGGGACCTAGCACCACCAACACCTGGCTCGGGTCATTCCGAGATCCTGAAAGCTGCTATTTTTAGCAACCTCACCCTTTTCCACATCATTATCCCTGAGTCCAGGGCTCACCTGTCATCCCAGCCACTCAGGAGGCTGAGGCAGGAGGATCTCAAGTTCAAGGTCAGGCTGGGCAATTTAACAAAAGCCTGTCTCAAAAATAAAAAAAATAAAAATAAATAAATAAAAAAGGGCTGTGGGTGAATGTCCTTATCACTGAAAGGTGACACAGGGCAGGGGCCAAGGTCCACTTCTGTCTGACTCCATGAGTAAGCTCTGGGCTGAGCCTCGGTTTCCCCAACTGGGAAAGGATCCCTGAAGACGGGTCAGTGAACGGGAGTGAACTTGACCTAGTTCCAGGACTTCTCTGGGCTTTGACGGCCCCCCCCTTGGAAAGTGGGGGGTGGAGGAAAGTGACCCCGGCCGGTGCTGCTTTCCCAGGGTGACCTCAGTGGTTATCTTCAAAGCCCTACACGACGGCGGGCTGTCACTGTCAACAGCCTGGCCGCTGCGCTCCCGTCCCCGGTCCCTCTGGAAGCCCAGATAAAAGCTGTCTCCCTAATCAATGTACCTCTCCGCCAAGCACGGCTGTCACCACCGGGCTGTGACGCTCGAGGACCTGGCGACAGCACCGGCTCTATACAATTAAGCCACTCGGTGGGGCTGGAGGCAGACGCGTCAGTGCCTGGGTATTGATCTCCTGGTGGGACCTCAGCCCAGACCCCCACAGGGGCCTCTACGGACATGGGAGGCCGCACAGTGGAGGCCGGCTCTAGGAGAGAGGCCCGGGTGTCTGAGGAGCCTGAGCTGAAACGTGTCCCCTCCCTCCCCAGCGGCCACCTATGCGTCCATCTTTCAGGATAACATTGGTCAAGACACAAAAAACTAACCATGTTCATTCTGAGAGCGTCCTTTAAGGTCTAACTGGAGCTGCCATGGTGACCCATTTTACAGACCAGGGAAACTGAGTCCCAGAGAGGCAGCGCTCTTGGCCCAAGGTCACACAGCTGAGGTTCAAGTCTGGTTCTGTCTGACCCCGGGAGTCAGCGCTGGGCCGGGCCTCAGTTTCCCCAATTGGGAAACGGTCCCTGAAGACTGGGTTCGTTCTTTTTTCTGGGTTTATTTGAAGTTGGTCAGGAAGGATGCCCAGTGGCCAGCCCAGAAGGTCTTTCATTCCCAGGATGGGACAAAGGGTGATTAATAATAGCTAACGCTTCCCACTACCCATGGGTAGCATTTGAAAAATATGAAATACATTAATTATATTGATATGAATAATGATATTAATAAATTGTATTAATTCATAGCTGTTCCTAATGCAGGCACTTCCCAAATCCCCAAATGGGGAAACCGAGGCGTAAGGAATTGAAAGAACTTGCCTGTCCGCCTGCTTGCCTGTCCCCCCAGGTCCCCTCTGATGGACTGTCGTTCCCCCAGCTGCTGTGAATGCTGCTGCTAAAGACCACAGATGTCCCCCTTCTGCTGAGAATTGTCTCTGGTCCCTCGGGGCCACCTCACCCCAACTGTCCTCCCAACAGGGGACAACCCTCAAACAATGGTCATCTGAAATATGGATACCAAAGGCTGGCCCAGCCAGGCACACGGTGCACGCCTGTCATCCCAGCAGCGTGGGAGGCTGAGGCAGGAGGATCGTGAGTTGGAGGCCAGCCTCAGCAGTTTAGCGAGGCCCTGAGCAACTTAGTGAGGACCTGTCTCAGAATTTAAAAAAAAAAATTAAGAGACACAGAGATGGAGGTGGAGATGGCCACGTGCTGTTGGGCTCGGAGGTTCCGAGGATTCATCTCTAAGCCCAGGAGAGCCAAGAACTGCTGCCCACTCTTCTAGGAAATCCAGAGGGGAGAACCTCCCTCCACCCTAGTACGGCTGCCCTAGCAAACTGATACAGAGTCCTGGTGATAGGGACTCCTGACATGGGGCCATGTCACCATATGTGGGACGACTCCGGGGAGCTGGGATCCTCCAAGCCTTTCCTTTCCCCCAGAAATGGGCTCTGAGTAGAAGAAGCCCCAGCCTGAGTTCTCCCGCCTCCTGGTTCTGGGGTGGGTTCAGGACCCAGGTCTGACCAATCAGAATGCTCCACTTTAGCCACCCATACGCTGATTGGCTCAGGGATAGGCACATGACCCAAGTCCATCCAATGAGCCTCAAGGTCAGCTCTATTGGAAATCTGGGGAACTGATTTTCCATTCATCCTCAATATCACCACCAGAGATGCCTCCTTTGACCCCCTGAACCGAAATACCAGTGCCCGCCCCCCCCCACCCCTTGTTTGGTTTTATTTTTCTGCACCGCACCTATCACTATGGACACTGTTTCTTCCTCTGGACAAGATTGTTATTATTAGACTGAACAGAAGCAGCAATGGTGTTTTTACTGTTATCTCCCGAGTGGGTTTGGTTGAGTGGGTTTGGCAAGGTGGTTCTTGTTCAGGGTCACTCCTCTTGTTGCCACCCAAAAGCTTTAGTTCAAAGGCTTCTTTACTCACAAACCTGGTCATCACCTGAGACCCCAGGTGAAGGTGTTGACTGGAAAACCCACCCGTGATCTATCCATATGGCCTAATAATGTATTAGTCAGCTCTCTGCTACTGTAATAAAATACCTGAGATAATCAACTTAAAAAGACAAAAGGTTTGTTTTCACTCACAGCTTCAGAGGTTTGCATCCCTGATGGATTGGCCCCCATCTCTTTGGGCGTATGGTGAGAATAATGGCAAGAGCTCACTGGAGAAATGTCTGCTCACCTCATGGTGGCTGAGAAGTCAAAGAGACAGGAAGGGACAAGGAACGCAATATCTCTTTCAAGGACATGTCCCCAATGACCTCGCTTCTTTCCATTAGTCCCACTTCCCAAAGGTTTCACCATCTCCCACTAGCAGCACAGGCTGGTGGCCAAACCTTAGGTCCTTTTGAGAGACACTTGAGCTTCCTCACAGCATGGAGGCTGAGCTCCAAGAGCTAGTGTCCCTAGAGAAACAGGTGGAGGCTGTGCATGTTGGGTGATTGGGGCTCACAAGTCACATAGCACTCCTTGTGCCACAGTCACATGGCCACACTGATTCTAGGGAAGGAAGCAGAGACCCCACCTCTCCAGGGAGACCAATCACTGTCACCTCACATGAAGAGAACGTGGAGGGGGAGATGTCTCTGTGGACACCTTGGAAATTGCAGTGCCACAGATGTCTCTTGGGGCTAAGCAGTAAACGGGATTGTGGGTGTTATGGTCTGGATGGGAGGTGTCCCCCAAAAGCTCACGTTGAGACGATCAAGGGCAGGAAGAGCTCCTCCAAGTCAACCCCACGCTTCTTACCTTAAGGCCTCCGTGGCCCCTTGGTGGCCTCTCTGTCTCCTCTGTCCCTCCACAGTGGCCAAAGCGGCCTTATAAAGGGCAAAGCTAATCCTGTCCCTCTTGGCTGCAGACTGGTTCCTGGTGGCTCAAATTAAGATGCACGTGGCCATTGTCCTGCAGCTGGCCTTCTGCAGTTGCTGAGGCTGGCCTCCAACTCACGATCCTCCTACCTCAGCCTCCTGAGCAGCTGGGATTTCAGGCATGCACCACCATCATCCAGGTGCTAATGGCTTTTTGAATGAATGCTATCAGGTTGCAAGTATTTTAGACAAGGCATATCAGAGGTCTGGGTCAGAAAGGACACTTTAATTATATAAAAAAAAATTAAGTTACATTTAATAAGCAAAGCAAAAAGAGATAATCACCATCAAGCAGATGTGATAGCAAGCACCTGAAGTCCCAGCTATTGGAGAGGCTGGGGCCTGGCTCCAGAATTTCCTTCTCTATAAACCTTCGCTGCCCCTCCTCTAGTTGTGTCTCCCAGGGTCAGGCACGGTTCCCAGCCTTCCTGGGCCCTTCTGCTTCCTGACCCTTCCCCAGCCAAGTTCCTGGGAGAGGAACCTCCCAGGCCCTTTAGACCCAGGTCAACTTTGCAGCTCTGCTTCCCTCTGGTGGTAAAAATCAGTATTGCACAAACCTGGTGACTGAATCTAGGGGCACTGGACCACGCAGCCCCATCCCCAGCCCTATTTTGTATTTTATTTAGAGATTGGGTCTCACTTCTCCCCCCGGGAAGTGTTCCCAGTCTTAGATGCTAAGTTTCCTGGTTTTTACAGATTTGCCATGAATTCAAAGTTCATATCCTACTCTGCAGGTTAAAAAAATATATATATATATCTGGGGCCAGATTTGGAAGGAAAATAAGAGCCACTTTGGAGTTTCTGAAGTAAGTCCCCCATTTTACAAAGAATATAAGAAGAGGGGAGGAGGAGCTACTCTGTCACCAGCAGGGGATGGCTGGCTGGGTCTGAAGCAGGGTTGGGAAGGTGGATTTGCATGTCCCGTGCTCACCAGGTATCCCGCACAAGTGGCTTCTGGACCAAACTTACCACATGGACAGATATCGTTTGGTCTGTGCAATGTTGTTAGAACCTAATCTCAGTAGTGCATGATGGTGCACACCTGTCATCCTATCGACTGAGGAGGCTGAGGCAGGAGGATCGAAAGTCTGAGGCCAGCCTCTACCACCTGTTGAGACCTTATCTCAAAATAAATAGTAGAAAGGGATGGGGTAGAGCACCCCTGGGTTCCATCCCCAGTGTCCAAGGAGGAGGAGAAGGAAGAGGTAGAGGAGGAGGCGGAGAAAGAAAAGAGAAATTTAAAAATAGGCACAGGAAAAAGAAAGGTTTCTAGTTTTTTTGTTTTGTTTTGTTTTGTTTGTACCAGGTATTGAACTCAGGGGCACTCAATCACTGAGCCACAACCCAGCCCTATTTTGCATTTTATTTAGAGACAGGGTCTCAATGACTTGCTTAGCACCTACCTTGCTGTTGCTGAGGCTGGCCTTGAACTGTGATCCTCCTGCCTCAGCCTCCTGAGCTGCTGGGATGACAGGCATGCACCATCGCATCCGCTTAGGTTTCCTCTTTTACCACCGAGTTGCTTTCCCCAGAACCCCCGATGGCCACCGTTTCACCTTTTCAATTTCCCCTCCTCTATGTCCATCCTAGTTTGAGACTTCAAAAATAGGGTTTTCTTAAAGATGTAGATCTAAGTATGGCCACCAGGTGTCGCTGGAGAGCCACAAATCGCGCAAACCCTGCGCCTAGATTGTGGCCTCAGAACCTCAAATTGGACCATTTGAAGGATACAGAAGCAGTTCTAGAATCTTAATTTGGAAACCCTGTGAATACCACCTCCAGGCCTTGCAAAGAGGAGGGAGAGCCCGGTATCTCCTTTCCTGTCAGTTAATGCTAGTGGTTAAGTTATTCGTTGAGCACCTACTTGGTCCGCACGTTAGGTGACATGCATTGAACTGCGACCCGGATAGGTTTCATGCTGTATCAGAGGAGTCTGGAAGCAGTAAACATCAACAAACAAAAGGATAAGGTAAATTCCAGGTTGGGTAACAGGTCGATGTACCTTGGCTGGCCCCAGCAATGGTCCCCATGCCTGTGTGGCTCCGGGGCCCTGGGAGATGCTTGTCACCCACGTTCAGACCCATCCAGGTGACACTCTGCGGCTCCGAAGCTGCTTTGTGGCAGGGACCAGCCCTTGACTCATGAGCTTGGGGAGAGAGCTGAACAGGACAGATCCCTTATTATATGAGCAAACAGGGACACTGGTTCTATGGCTGTCATAAGGACATCACAGGGGACTGCTGAGCACTCAGGTGGGGAACCCCAGCCCACCCCAGAGCCTGGCCACAGCCTAAAATTCCTATTCAGTCACCTGAGCTTTATTGGTCACCACTGTGATGAGATCTAGTGGTAGGCAAGACAGATGCTGCTGTCCCCTGCCTTTGTATAGTCCTGGTCCCACAGAAGGGATGAGATGAAGTGTCCCAGCATCTGCTGACCAGAAAGGGACTGGACCCTGTCTCTTGCATCATTTTGCATTGCTGTAACAGAATACCAGAGACGGGGAAACTTATAAAGCATGGAGATTTGTTTCTGACAGTTCTGGAGGCCAGGAACTCCAAGGTTGGTGGTGGGGGGGGCTGTATCTGGTGGAGACTATATCTGGTCTATGGGCTCCTTGCAGGATGGAGGTCACTGGACTCACTCTCATCTCAGCAAACCCAAGAGAGAGGAGGCTCAGAGAGCCTGAAGCTCCACCCCCAAGGTCAGCAGAGCTGCACATGCGCACATAAGAGGATTTCCTATAGCTCAGATGTGGCCCTGGCAGGGCCTGGCCTGGTCATGCTCCAGAGGAGCACCCGAAGGGCCAGGATCAGAGAGAAAAATCAGCTGAGCAGAGTGTCACCAGCAAGCAGTAAATGTGTGGCTCACAGAGTATCGAAGAGGGGGGAAGAAAAGACCAGAGCCAGAGTTGGGGTGGGGGGTTTGTCTCCAGAGTCACCTCTCCCCAGTTATATACACAAGTCATACTGAAGCCAGGCGTGGTGGCACAAGCCTGTTATCCCAGCGATTTAGGAGGCTGAGGCAGGAGGACTGCAAATTCAAAGGCCAGCCTTAGCAACTTATTGAGGCCCTAAGCAACTTGGTGAGACCCTGACTCAAAAACATATATATATATAAAATGGCTAGGGATGTGGCTTGTGGTTCAGTGCCCTGGGTTCAATCCCCAGTACCTAAAAATAATAAAAATCTCTTCTCAAGTCCAACCCATTTTATTTTCTCTATGTATAGCAGAGAACCCAGCCCCCCACGCCTGCTAGGCACGTGCTCTACTCCTGAGCCACATCTCCAGCCCCAACTTATCTTCATGTCACCTGAGGTATCCTTCCAGGCCTACCTTATTTTTTTTTAATTGGGAAAACATTTTCTAGGGTGTTCTCTTACCTGGGATTAAGCAGAAGCTCCCTTCTAGAAGGAAAAAAACAGCTTTGCATTCAATGTCAGCCCATTTCTGGGAGCATGTCCTATGAAGTGGACAGAAGGAACCAGCAGGCCCTGCCCCCAGGGAAGGGACATGGCCGGTGTAGAGATATCTGCTGACCGCATTTCACTTTTTCTTTTTTTCTCTTGGGCGTTCAAAAAATCGTGAAAGAACTCCGACCTGGACTCGGGTGACTTGGAAGAAGGAAAGGAGACACAGCTTGAGAGGTTCCCCACAGCCATTGGCCAGGGGAGGGTGAGGAAGCGGGTGGCCAAGCAATTTGTCCCAGACACAGGACACTTCTGGGAAGGGGAGGAGGCCCTATTAATAATTGCTTGGGGACAACAGCTCTCACGGCAAGTGGGTGACCTTAGTAGTTGTGAGAAGCTGGGGCCCAGGTAACTTTGGGGACTATTTCAGAAGGGAAGTACCCAGGGTCCTATAGCCTGGAGGGACTGTCAGACCCTGTAGAGAAATGGCCAGGTGTGGAAGGGCAAAGTGAGTTCTCTGCAGCTGCCCCGTGCTGTTTCTGGTCGCAGGCAGGTAAATCTGTCTCTCTCTGAACCCCAGGATGCTCATCTGTACCAGTGAAGGTATGTAGGGTACCAGGGATGTGGCTCAGTGGGACAGCGCTTGCCTAGCATGAGGCCCTGGTGACATGGCTCTGTGGCTGCCAAGCTGCGTGAACCCGCCATACAGGGGTGGCTGGCCTGAGTAGTGAGCCAACCAGTCGCCCTGAGAAGCCAGGTTAGGGTCCAGGCAAGGCTGCAGCCCTATCTGAAGACCTGAACCTTTCCCTTCTTGATTTGCATGAGGGTGGAGCCTAGGGAGTTGACCAATAGCGCTAGTGCGTTTCTAAGCTCTAATTAGCATAAAATGGGACCAATAGCGCTAGTGCGTTTCCAAGCCCTAATTAGCATAAAATGGGGCCAATAGCGTGTCTCCAAACCCTAATTAGCATAAAATGGAACAATCCCATTGATCATTTTTCAAACCCTAATTAGCATAGTTTAAGGCCAATATTAGTCCTTTTTCCGAGAACTACACTCCATGCAGTGCTCTAGATCCGCAGCACCCCGACACCTCCAGAGATGTGCAATTTAGACTTAAATCCCTCGTGTCCCCTAAACAGGGAGAAAAGAGAAGTAAGGTAAATCTGAATGGGATTCAGGGCTAACAAGAGCATTATTACTTTTCCAAACCTTCAATAGCATAAGTTTAGACCAGCAGCCCCATGCTAGAACATTCTATGGGAGAAAACCTGCTGTCACCCTTTTGCACAGGACACCTCGAATCCTGTTTCTTTTTCCAAAACTTGTACTCACTCATCCTGAAGTGTGGATTTCGTTCTTCAAATTCACACGAGAATTAGGAAAGAAGAAATGGATGGTGAGCGGCTGGGGGCTGCCCCACAGGAGGACATGGTGTAGCCTTGACAGAGGCGACAGTTCCAAGCCTCACGCAGACCCCACCCACCAGCAGAATTGGAGAACGTGGCCCTGTGTGCCAGTCGCATCTAAAAACTTCATTCTCAAGGTCTCTTTCACGCACTTACTGTTGAATCTTTTTTTTGGGGGGGTGGGTAACTGAGAATTGAATCCACGGTTTTACTGAGTCCAGGACTTAGGAAATGACACTGGATTTTGACTTCTGCTGGCAGGTCAGGGGTCTGTGTGGTCACAGGCATCTGCAGAGCATAAGTCTTGCTGATGACCTCAGAAGCTAAATATCAATTTATTTTCTTCCCAAGGTTCTTCTCTCCAGAATTTAAACCGTGAAATCCTCAAACCAAGATAATGATATTCACTGGGGGGGGGGGAATCTAAACAAAACAAAACAAAGAAACAAACAAAAACAATGATAACACAGTTTCTTTGTCTCCCCTGCCTCCTGTGGGGTTTATATAGCCCTTGGGGTCAGGGGTATTGTTCCCATCTTATGCTAATGAGGGTTTGGAAAAAGTACCAATGCTATTGGTCCAAATTTATGCTAAGTTTTGGAAACTATTGGTCAACTCTCAAGTCCCAATTTGGTTCTTGTCTGCCCCACTTCCATCTTCTTGCTGCCAGTGCATCGCCACAGACCCTTGTCACTACCACTGAGTCACATCCCCACATCTTCCTTTTCTTTTGATATTGGAAATTGACCGCAGGGGTGCTTCACCACTGAGCCACATCCCTGTCTATTTTAATGTTTTATTTGGAGACAAGGTTTCCCTAAGTGGTTGAGGCTGACCTCCAACTTGCAATCCTCCTGCCTCAGCCTCCTGAGTCGATGGGGTTACAGAAACAGTCCACTGTATCTTGTGGGCTAATGCATTTTACTTATTTATTTATTACTTGTAGTTGGATACAATACTTCTATTTCGTTTATTTATTTTTATGTGGTGCTGAGGATCAAACCCAGGGCCCTGCACGAAGCGGCAGCAGAGCCTTGGAGCAGTGGAGTGGTGGCCCTGGGTGGGCAGCAGCGACCTGCAAGCACATACTGTCCCGGGACAGCAACCTCCTGCTTCCAGACCTGCAGGGAGGAAATAGAAGTGGGGTATCTCTGAATGGAAGTCTCCAGTTGAGAACTGACCAATAGCATTAGTAGGATTCCAAACCCTAATTAGCATAAGTTAGGACCAATAGGAATGACCCAAGTGCTATATAAACCTTTAGCTGGGGATGTGGGTGCAAGAATATCGCTGTGGGTTTCTCACCTGTGGGTGGAGAGTTTTGGTCTCGGTTTGTGAATTTCATATTTCAAACGCTCTGGTTAAGAATCTTGAGAGAAGGTGGTGAGTTGCTGGAACGTTTGAGGGTTTAGGGTTAAGGTTAGTTCTTAAGAGCTGCCATGTTTTTTGAATATCTGTCTTAAACACTATTGACTTCACTGAGCTTGATTCTTAGCACCTCGTTTTAAAAAAGAATATAGGTGCTTGAGGGTTAAGTGGGTTGGAAAGTTGTCTTAGATAA